CGGCGGGGCAGGTCTCGTCCAGCAGGAAGGACAGCACGTCCACGTCCGTGTCCGTGAGCTGCGAGCCCACCACCTCGAAGAGCTCGTGCAGGGACTGCATGCCGTAGTAGGTCAGGCACTCCGTCTCGTCCCACCACAGCGGCCGGCGGGCCGGGGCCGGGCCCGGGACTGGGACTGGGGGCATGGCCGAACCGGCGGGCCTGGGTGTGGGTGCGAGTGTGGTCGGAGGTGTGGGCGTGGGCGTCCACGCAGGGCGGGCCGGCCGCGCTGTTGACAAACAACCCGGGTCACGTGCAGGCGTTATGTAAGCCCACGTGCGCGCACCCCCCCCTCTCCGGCTGGCCCTTGCGGTGACGTCACGAGCTCGCGGAAGAGGTGCGGGTGGGTTGAAGGTGTGTGTGTGTGTGTTTGTGTGTGTTTCCGCGACACAGAGGCGAGTCTACCCCAGCTGTCCCGTCGTGTCTCGCCTCCCCCACCCGTGACAAGCGGTCTCCAGATCCGTCTCCCCTCTGCTGCGCCCGTCCCGGGGCTCCGGCCAGCGGCGGCTGTCCGCAGAGTGACCGCTCCGGCCGGACCTGTGTCACAAGCGCTCTGCTGCGTTGCGGGTCGGAACCGGGCCGGGATCCGGGCGGCTGGCTGTGCGCTGGCAAGTTCAAAGCTCGTCTAGTGTCCGGGCTGCACAAACCCTGTCCGCTCTCTCTCGCGACTCGTCCGCTTCTAGCAGCTTCCAGAAGCAGCTGCGCGCATGCGCGACCGCCCCTCGCCGAGCGGCCGCCATCACCGAGGCACCGGCCAATGGGAGAGGAGGGTCTGCCGCACGTGATCTGTTGACGCCGAGAGTCGCCATGTTGGGAGAGGAAGCCTGCCCCCGGGCGCCCAGGAGACGGAGGAGGACAGGTCTTCCTGACAGGCTCGCTCACAGGTGGATAGGGGCGAGACTCGCGATGGCCGGCGAAGGAAGTTGGAAGCAGGAAGTCCGGATAGCCTTTTCCTGATTTCTGCCCGGCGTGTAGCTCGAGCTGTTCGTACCTGGAAAGGCCGTTAGAGCTGTGAGCTGGTACAGGCTGGTTACCATCGAGCCCGGACCCTGTGCTTCTCAGTGGTGACACGTGTCTGAGCGCACAAAACACAATATTCAAAATCAATCCTTTTGTTCGATTAAGGATTTGATAAGTTGCGTTACTTGCGTTGCTATCTCTGAACTGGCTCCATCACTCTGCTCTCCTCCCCACTGAGAGCTGGTGTGTGGGGAGCGGACTGGCGCATCATCCAGGTGGGGCTGCACACTGGTGGTGGTGGAGGGGATCCCCATGACCTGTAAAGCGCTTTGACTTGAGTGTCCACAAAAGCACTATAT